GTGCACTTAAACTACTAGCAAACTGGTGCGACAACAATGGAATGGTAATCAACACTGCAAAAACTGCATTCCAAACTTTTTCTTTGGCCCGTCACAGCATAAACCCGCTTCTAAGGTACAAGGTTACTAACATTGAAAAAACCAATGAGTTCACATATCACGGAATGACTTTTGACACAAAGCTAATGTGGAAAAGTCACATTGCTAAAATAGCAGAACGAGTCTCCAATAGACTGAGTATACTGAAGCGTCTTGCTGGTAGCGTATGGGGCTGTGCACGCTCAACTCTCAACACCACTTACAAGATGTTTATTCAACCAATAATGTTGTATTGCTGTGAGCCACTCCTCCTTACAGCCGCAGAGGTGACTCTCAAACCCCTCGAGAAGGCACACAACCAAGCATTACGACTAATTACTGGAGGGATAAAATCAACACCCATTGATGCGATGCTCCTAGTTACAGGAAGCACCACAATAGGTTCCCTTATCAAAGAAAAGGCCTTGATCCTGTATGAGAAGCTACTGCACATTCCCATGGATAAGTTCTTCAGCAACTATGAGAATAGACCAAGACACCTGAAAACGCAATCTGGTCTAATACAGAAAGCCATAGAACTGAAGAAAGAATTATAAATCGATGACAGGCCAAAAAGCCTCTCTCCCCCCATGAACCCATTAGCAGACATTGATATAGTTGACACACTTGCTAAGAAGGGGACAACGATTTTGCAATGCATGGACCGGCCGATGTCTTTCCACACGATGAAGGCCTTAATCAGGAGAGAATTCCAGACCTCAAGGTGCAACGAAATTATAGCTGGAACAAAGGAGAAACAGTAGACTTTTCAATACTATTTCTAGTTAATATTATTAACTACTCAGAGACAATAAACAGATGTTTTTTGTCTATTATTACAATTTAAAATTTAATGTAATTTAATATAAAAGTATTTTTCAAGGTTAATGATGACGGGATTAGAATAACAACAAAATGAACCGACTTTTGATATGTGACACAATTTATTTGCTAAACTTATCTTTAAGCTCAATTAGGAAGAAAAATTATTGATAAACAGCAAATACAAATAAAGTGAGCTATGCTAAATTTATTTATTCATGGAATTCACATATTGCCAAAAAAAATTATAAACGATTGGGCATATTTTAATTAAAAAAGCACAAAATAGAAGGTTAGCTGCCAAGTTTAAAGCTAGAAAATGTGAGTGCCCACAGATATTACTGAAAAGGAAAATTAATGCTTATAATGCAGCGAAAAAGCGGTAAATGCAATTCAAGCAACACACAACTCGGAAGTTAAATTCTTTTCAGGATATTTAGTGCTACTTGAGAGTACAAAAGCCTCTTCAAAACCGACTGTTAAAACATTTTTCTGGTTACGAAATTAATACAATTGCTGGAAACTAACTTACAACACTACAATGCCCATTTGATGTGGAATATTAACAAAGTGACATTAATTCTTTTTCTGTTACATTGGTTATATGTACATATATATATATATTTCTCCATCATTTGAAATAACACAAATTTAACACTTCACGCTTAGCTAATATAATTTTGACTTTTGATTTGAATCCAATTATCCAAAAAGAAGTATACTTTAAATTCAGGCGAATAATCGTGAATAAAATAGGTCAAATTATATTTCAAAATACTAGATGAAATGAATAAAATCACGAAAATAAATGTTTGGCAATATACGATGGAAATTGATATTTAAATTTCAGATTCAAACACAGAAGTTGCATTTCCACTACCAGAGAATTGAAATGGGAGAAAATAGGGTGACGATCAAGGTTGGAAGTTTTCGTAATGCTTATGTTAAAGGATAGTCACTATGGAATACAGGGTGGCGAGATGACAGGAAGGCTCACCAAAACACATTTGCGGACTAATAATTTTAAGCAGCCAAATTTACTTGAAAAAGTGAAGTTGTGTTGTTATTTTCAGTCTTAAAACTGTGCCATTAAACTGGGGTGTCACTTTTACTCGCCTCACCTACTTGACAGCACACGATTAAGGCTGTGGGAAAGTGACAAAGAATCGATCAGTTGGGAAACTCAAGTTCTACCAAAATTTAGTCTGCCGAAATAGCATCAGTATGATATGCAACTTTAATGGCCTAATTGGAATTACCAGCACTGTTTTTCACAATAATTTTCAATTAAAAATGAGTGAAAGTGCAATAATCCCTAAGGGAAACATTTCTTTAAAAAACTACGTTTGGGTTGAAGAAATTCAAACAATGAATACAAAAGTGAACAATAAGATTTTCACGATCAACAATGAAAGGCAACTATGAGAGAGTAAATCCATTGTTAGGTCAGGTTATCGCCTCAACCACTCATCATGACCTTCCTCGCTATTAACCAATGCACTACTGAGTAGAAATCAGTAGCATTTGAAAAGCACAGGATTGTTTATTGGCGTGGTGAAGTGAGCAGTTAGAGGAAGTGAGATAAAGGTGTGGAGAATCAACGTGTGTGGGGGTATAGCTCAGTGGTAGAGCATTCGACTGCAGATCGAGAGGTCCCTGGTTCAAGTCCGGGTGCCCCCTAGTACTTCTTCTTTGAAATGATGACGGTGGAGACTACAGTTTACCGAAACCGGTGAATATTTGGCAATCTAAGTGCAACAATTTGTCCCACTCTTCAACCATAACTTCTATAATTGCCATCCCCCTTCCTCCAATAATCTACATCATTTTGGCAATCGTGATCTTGTGTAGTCTGCACATCAATTTACTATGGCTTTGAGCCATATGCACCACACTTAAAAGCCACATTTTCCAAATGTTGATTTGACATGAATTCAAATGCAAGAATTACTGCAGATTTTGGACAGAACTTATTCTTATTGACTTTGGCACACCTCAATACTTTACGATATATGTTCCATTTGGTAAGTTTTGAAAGTAGGCGNACCACTCATCATGACCTTCCTCGCTATTAACCAATGCACTACTGAGTAGAAATCAGTAGCATTTGAAAAGCACAGGATTGTTTATTGGCGTGGTGAAGTGAGCAGTTAGAGGAAGTGAGATAAAGGTGTGGAGAATCAACGTGTGTGGGGGTATAGCTCAGTGGTAGAGCATTCGA